CTACGAAAAGAATGCCGGTGCTCCAGTATTTGGCGCAGAGTGAAGATGTGGTCGATACAACCTCGACCGATAAAAGCAGAATGGTTGACAAAAACGCATTCGCCTGATTTTCAACAATAGTCATTCACATGTGACAACAGGCCCGCCTCGTTTGTGAAACGGAACCGGTCGATCAACTCGGCAGATGGAAAAATTGTCGAATTGGACGACGTTGTCTTCAATTTCATTGTGCAGCCAGCTTCCTCGAATAGTTACACCCACATGCGGATGTTCTCGTCTGTTTGTCTGATCTTTCCCTTCTACCATATTACGAAGCAGCCAGCGCACAATTCCACTGATGTCTGCTGGAATGCAGACGTCGCAGACAGAACGTTCACACAGTGCGACCTGCAATGCAGCTCGATGTTTGCTAGGAAATCCTTTGAACTTTCCGTAGTTTCTCTCGGTTAAATCGATTTGCCAAAGGAAGGTGAAATCTAGTGACCGGAATTTCGAATGTACTTCATAAGGCAGAGTATAGCACAGAATTTAGGACGATCGTAATCGCACAACGAGGAAGTGCATTGCAGATAAAATGCAGTTAAGAGCTCGATTACGTTACGGACATTTGATGCTGTTGATCACATTGTACATTCTGTTGCACCCGTCTTATACAAAGGGGCATGGAAAATTATGCAAGCAACTATGATTCTCTCAACTGGACCATATACATTCCGAATCCACCTTGAAACCCGAGCACATGAATGGTTCGGATAACTACTCCTATGGGAGCACTTCAAATTCATCTAGTCGGAAAAATCCATAGTCCGCAAAGAGTGATTAGTGTTTTTCAGGATGATATTCCATCTTCTAGCATTCCTCCTTAACCAATCAGAAGCACACCGTTCCTCAAAACTTTGCTGGCCGCAAGTGTGGACTTATTGTCATTACATTGCTGTAAACAGTTTTCCTTCTCCGAAATGGTTTTAGCTTCATAACTAACCTTCTCTCGATTAATTTTTGCTAAACATCTGCGTGTGTAGATGCTTACATCAGTCTCAAGACCGTTCCAGATATCTTAGCTTCTTGATTAGTTCCTTTAGTCTTGTTTCCCTACGGTTAGAGAATTCACGAACCTGACTGTGCTGGATGCCGTTTTCACCCTCGACCACCACCTTGTATTGGTCTACTCGCGATGGAATTTGTCCTCAGGAAACTAGTTATACGGTAATAAAACCTCGAACGATTTTTCCTTTCAAGTATCCCGATTTTATAAAATCAGACAAGTTATGAAAACCTCACTCAGTATCAACAAAGCTGTAATGAATCCTCGAAAGACCGTCAAATTCTAATCGCTCTCCGCGGATACATTTATGAACAGAATATGTAGCGTTTCGTACGCTACCCAGCCTTCAAGTAGTCGTGCGATCGCCGTCATTTGCTTCAAGAAAAAACTGTAGCATTAGAACAATTTCTGTACTACGATATCGGCTCATATCCATGAATATATACATTAATTTTAAAACTTGTGAGAACTGAGAGTTCATACTTCGAGTGCACAAAATTAGATCATCGGACTTAACTCTGCCCATACCATAGGTTGTTCCTGTGACACGCCAAATTATCCTAAGAAAAAACAGCACCGTTTGGGGTGTAACGCTTACTTTAATTTCCAACAATGGTCTCGAATTTATTATATTGCCATTGCCTACCGCTGAAGAGGATCCATTCATGACTTCCGCTCCTATCGGCGCACACCGGCGGTGGAGGCAGACAACACACGGATTCCCCGTGCACACAAAACAACCGCACCAAAAGCACCGGAAACGAACACGCGAATAGTACAATGTGAGCAACAACTAGCAAAAGGAATCTGGGGGGGGGGCGTGTGTTCTCTCATTGCCGATTAATCTCACCAACCAATAAAACAAATCCTCAGCA